TGGAGGGTATGGTCAAGGAGAGATCTTGGGGGTTTCTTGGGGATAACTTCCCAGGGCATCTCTCAGAATCTTTCTAGGGGGAGTGGGGATCAGTGGTGGGTATGGTAAGGGGAGATATCGAGGTTTTTTGGGGGTCACTCTCTAGGGCAGCTCTCTGGGTCATTTCAGGGGGAGGCGAGTCAATGGAGGGGATGATCATGGGGAGATCTCGGGGAGGTTTTTGAAGGGTATCTTTCCGCATTAGTTCTCAGGGTCTTTCCAGGGGGGACTCGATGGGGATAAGAACAAGGGGAGATCTCAGGGTTTTATTGAGGGTAACTCTCCAGGACAGCTCTAGGACAGCTCCCAGAATCTTTCTAGGGAGAGGGGTCAATGGGGGATATGGTCAAGAGGAACTTTCAGGGCCTTTCGAGGGGGTATTGATGAAAGGTATACTCGAGGGGAGATCTTGGAAGTTTTTTGGGGTTGACTTTCCAGGGGAGCTCTGAGGGTCTTTCTGGAGTGGATTATTGAAGGGGATCGTCAAGGGCAGATCTCGGGTGATTTTGAAGATCACTTTTGGGGATTGCTCTCTGGATCTTTTTAGGATTTGCCAAGGAGTGTATGATGAAGGGGACATCCCGAGGGGTTCTTTGAGGTTACTTCCAGGAGTCAATAGGGGTGTGGTCAAGAGGAGATCTCGAAAGTATGGTTGGAACGAAATTCCGGAGAAATCTCGGGAACATTTCTCAAAGTAGGTTTGAGGGGATAANCTTAAAATACCCTGCGGGCAGTCCTGGGAACTGACCGGCAAGATCTCCCCTCGACCATGGCCTCCATTAATCCCCTTTTGAAAGAACCCGATAGCTCTCCTGGTAAGTTAACCCTAAGAAATCACCGAGATCTCCCACTGACCCTCTTCAAAACACCCAATTCACGTTCAAACGCTTTTCCTCACTCCGTCAACAAAATAACCCTCCAATCAATGAATTATGACAAATTCCAACATCAATGTTTCAATTTCTTCCCAACCCTACTTGTCGCTTACTTCAATGACCTATTTGGAGCCAACTTCTGATAATAGCCGTTTTCGTAAATGAAGTCTCCGGCCTTAGTTATAATTTGTCCTAATTGAAACGAAATTTCCCAATCTCGTGGCTGCAGGGGGGGGGAGGGGGGTGGTTATTATTTTTTGCGGAGGACGTAACGATGAAAACCATGTATAAAGAGTTTTTTTGGTGCGAAAACGAGGACTTCTTGTAGGTCGCTAATGAGGGCCAAAATTCTGGACACTAAATGGCCTCGGATTTGGGTGAGGAATGAAAGTTAGATAAAAGTGTCAAATTGAGGAGCAAAAAAGTGCCGGAGTAGGGGTCAGAAATAAGGTTCAGACAACGGTTTCGCAATAATGTTCGAAATGCGGGTCAGAGTTAAGGTTCAGAATAATGGTCAAAGAGCGGGCCAGGATGAAGCTCACAAATCAGGTTCTTAATGCGGGTCAAAAATACCGGTCCGAAGGGAGGTCAAAGATAAGGGTCAAAAATAATAGCCTGAATTATGGTAAAAGGGTCGAAAACAAGGGTCCGAATGAGGCTAAAAAATAAAGGTCAGGATGAGGGTCAAAAACGAGGGGTCAGAAAACGAGGTCAGAAATAAGGGGCATAATGAGGTTCATAATGACGGTAAAAAAAATAGTCAGAATTACGATTAAAAATACAGGTCCGAATGAGGGTCAAAAATAAGGGTCTCAAATGAAGTTCAGGGTGTGTCAAAAATAAGGTTCATAATGAGTGTCAGAAAAAGTCAGAAATGAGGTTCATAATGAGGGTCACAAATCGGTGTCAGGATGGGAGTCAAAGATAGGGTCATGATGAGGGTCAAAAATACCAGTCAGTGAGTGGGTAAGAAACAAGGGTCAGAAATGAGAGTTAAAAATATGGGTCATGATGAGGTTCATAATGAGGGTCAAAAATACTAGTTAGAAGGAGGATAAAAAATGAGGGTCAGAGTAAGTCTCAAAAATAAGGTTTACCATAAGGGTCAGGATGAAAGTTAAAAATGAGGGTCAGAAATGAGGGTTAAAAATATGGGTTATAATGAGGTTCATAATGAGGGTCAAAAATACTAGTTGCAATGAATGTTAAAAATACTAGTTACAATGAATACATATAACAAATGAGGGTCATAATAAGGGTCAAAAGTGAGGGTCAGGAAGAGGGTAAAAATTAGTGTCATAATGTGGCTCGAAAAAAAGGGTCTAAATGAAGGTCAAAAATACTAATCAGAGTGAGGGTCAAAAATAAGGGTCCGAGAGCAAGTAAAAAATAAGGGTCATAATGAGGGTCAAAAATACTGGTCAGTATGAGGGTCAACAATGAGGGTAAAAATAAGGGTCAGAGAGAGGGAAAAAAATAAGGGTCATAATGAGGTTCATGATGAGGGTCAAAAATAGTTGTCAGCGTGAAGCTCAAAAATAAGGTTTATAATAAGGGTCACGAATAGTAGTCAGAGTGAGGGTCAAAAATAAGGGTTAGGATTAGTGTCAAAAATGAGGGTTAAAAATATGGTTCACAATGAGGTTTACAATGAGGATCAAAAATAGTAATTATAATGAATGTCAAAAATAAGGGTCGAAATAAAGGTCAGAATGAGGGTAAAAATAATGATCACGGTGACGGTCATAGATAAGGGTCACTGAAAATCCGAAATATTAGTATTTATATTATTACCAGGGCCCCGAACTTCATGTGATTACCATTGTTATCAACAATCATTCAATTGTTATTGACAATCGTAATCGGGCG